TTTTGAGTCTACAATGTACATCATTCATCTCTTATTAGAGCCTTTATTGTACCTCCTGATAATATGTCCCTAATATCTCTGGTTCACATATATCTCTCAGCCACTACTACCAGATCCGAGATAATCGAGGTATTATTTCCTGTAATTTGCCCTAAGCCTTGCATAACACATATTATGATGCCTCACCTAGCAAGTTTTCAATACCTGAATTCTCTCTCTGATTAATGACTTTCCTAGCACTACTTACCTCTTTTCGGCTGGGTTGGTTGATCTCATTGACAGGCCTTTACTTATGGACCATTTTGCCGATCAAACCCGTGTACTGTGACCAAATTGTGAGCTTGTGTTTTTAGTCTCCTCCGCATCTCAGGCAGAGTTCTAATATAACTAATCTCGCCCTTCTTCCACAATACCGAATTTCTAGGATGGTTCTAACTTACCGATTCTCCATTCCCTTGTGTGCGAACCCTCTAAATTTTGTGGTCATTTATTTGTTTTTTGGATAGATTCACCATAAATGCCTTCTCTCAATTTCACTTGTTCTTCGGGAGCCTCTGCTCTTTTCAGCCTGTTGAAAATAGATTATTAATCCAGTCGTCTACACCTTGCTGATCATGTTGATTCTTGGTTTTCTTCTATTTTACTTAAGCTATATTCACACTTTTTGCTATATTGTAGGTATTATGACCTATGTGGTGTGATCTTTGGTTTAGTTTTCGATACTTCTATCCTCCTCCATTCAATATTCATTTGAATAGTTTAAATAAGGATATCGAAACCTTTATATGTCCCATAGCAATAACATACAAGGTCTGTCCAAATTAGAATAATTAATTATGCTAATGAAGGGGTGGAATACGAGGTTATCAAGTATGTGGATTCACCAGGATTTCAGAGATACGCCAACTGTTTAGCAGAAATCGTCATGTGATGGCCTTTACTTATCTCATTACGAGCTCTAGCTTGGTGTTAAGAGTGACAAGGTCCATTGGAATGCCGGTGAAACATTCTGGAATAAATCAAGTCCATGGTCCGAAGCTTAAAATTATTATGACTAATAACCTTGTACACGGTACATTCATCGGAGTAACCCTGACAACGAACCTAAGCTGTGAAAGCGAGGTCAAGCCATTCTCTATAGCGGAAACAAACTGCAACCAAGATATTGGCTGCATTATCTTGTTCCTTATATCATTTACTTTATTTGTATACTTTTATTGGGCTGCTTAATTAGAGAGCATTCTACGGCCTTATAATTGCTTCTTAATTTAGATAATTTACTTTACTTCTTTTGTTAAGTAATTTCATTACTAAACTTACGCATTTTATTCCTAAGTTATTTACCCACATATTTGCTTCTCCACTGTCCTTTATTTCCCTTTCCTTTTCTTTTCGCCAGCATTCACCATTTTCAAAGAATACAACATGTACTACCTTTATCTTATTTGAAGTGCGCTCAAAATTTCTTAGCCTGATAAGAAAAGATATTATTTTGATTGTTTGCAATTAAATTGATGATAATCAAATTTATTAGCTAGCCCAATATAACTTCTTCATCCGAATATACATAATTTGCGGGAAAATATCTCTACTTTAAATTTCAAGGAAGCAACTAACTGTTTGAATAATTAAATCTTCGATTAACTTAACTGCTTTGTTTGCTGTCTCACTTGTCTTCATTGCTTTACTAGTTTTTATTTACACGTCACCCTGACCGTTTTTATCTGGCTCAAATCTTTATAAAGTGATCTAAACATTGTCGAGCTCAGCTTTCTTGGGTACTCTAATACTAGCTAACCCAATATAACTTCATCATCAGGATATATATGATTTGCGGAAAAACATCTATCCTTCATCTCTTAATTATTGGAACCATTAATAGATATTTCTAACTTGAAGGTCTCTTTGTAAAACCTTAATTTATTGAAAGAAATCTGGCTTCTGATTTCCTTCAATCTAAGCTACTCCCGGGGCTTAGTTGAATATTAAGCAGTGCCTTAATTTTTTTAATATAAGTTGTTTTTGATATTATCTTTTACACCATAGATCCAAATAGCAAGCAGATTTTTATAAATCGACAACCCCACTATTAATGCGATTTGGGTTGGGCTTGGCCTGCCTTTGATGCCACATCTGGCTTTTGACCCTCTGACAATTGTGGCTGTGTAATGGGGTGGTATCGTCGTCGCGATTCTGATAACTTAGTTTAAACTTCGCTGTAAGGGCTCATATGACCTAAGCGAAGGTGAAATTGCAATCCACCCTGGATGTTACAGTCTTATGGGAGGCAAAGCTAAGTGAACTTCAATGGCATCATGAGGCATACTCAACTATCATCCCTTAGTAATCTAGGTTGATTAAATTCATATTAAGTTCAGTATTTTTTCCCGAAATTCTGAGTAATGGTAGCGACTGTTAATTAGTTTTATGCCTCAATTTTTTTATCAGTCCCATGCTGGTAATATCAATTTGCCCTAATTCTAGTTTTTATTCTCCTATTTTGCTTTTAAATATTTTTTAAATTTCTACGATAAGCCTTCATCTAGTTGTTATTTTATCTTTGCTTCTTTGTTCGTATGATTTCATTCAATGTATGATGTTAAGAAACATTCTGGAAGTATTTATTGAAGCTAAATGAACCTGCCAACCAATGATATATTATAAGACAGTTAGTATCACTTAAAGACCTTTTGACATTTTCTCTTGGATACGCTTTTCGTTCTTTAACTCATCATTGGTTTCTTTAACTCCGCTTCTATAATTGGCCTCATACTAAGGCATTTAGATAAATTCATTCCGATTCAAAAGTTTTCCGTTTGCTGGTGCTTGCTTTGGCCGGATTTATTTATATGGCTCTTTCTCATCCCTTTCACTTGGCAGTTAAAGTAGGTAAGACCCTTGTATATGGGTTTCACTGTTATAAACTTTTCTTACTTCGTATAACTAGCTTTGAAAGATCGTCTTCTTTATTTTATTCTTCAAAGCACTTATTCCATTTCAAATTCTTTCTTCATAATTTTTTCCCAATCCCGATGACTAACGGTGTTACAGCTAGTACAAAGAGCTACATTAACTTAGCTACGAGGGGTTTACGCTTGAACTAGCTTCACTTTCTCTCTGTCAACTTTTAATTTTATCCTACCTTGCCCATCATCAAATTTATGTCATTTAATATTTCAAAATTAGACTGGCTTAGCGTCCATTTTACTTTTCTGCTTTCTTCTGTATTTCAAAATCCTCTTAATTAGGATAAGTTGTCTTAGTTTTGGGAATAATTAATCTAACTTCTTTATTTATATCTTCATATAGCAGCTATTTGATTTTTCCGCTTCTTAAGCCGAAAAGTATTTTTAATGCAAGAGTTTTGAATGTAGTTAATTTTTTATTCTAACCTACCAAAAGATCGTATAACCTAACAAAATATGGTTGCTTCCTTAAATAAATTCTATAGTATTAATTAGATCAGCTTATACAAATTTTGAGTACTCTTCATATTTATTTACTCTATTTTTTATCTAACACGCCTCTACTTTTCACATTTTTCATTTCCATAGTCACTTCTTTGTATTTTATTTATTTCCTAGTGAACCTCTTATTTAGTCGCAAATTATTCACACTCCACATCTAATACATCCACCAGTTCATTTGTCCATCAATGCACCATAGTCTTAATATGCTTAACATATTTTTTATTCCTTTCCCTTCTCTTGATCTGTAGGCTGATTATTTTGAGCTCATTTTTTCCGTTCCTATCATTTATAGCTCCAATGATCCGATTTGGTCATCCCTGGACGATAACAATCCGTCCGCTTTCGGTTTTTGGCGCGAAGCTCTTATCGATCTTAGCTCCCTTAATGTCACCAGCACAGACCCTTCAGCTAGTACATCCAAAGACTACAAGGTGATGGCGCTTCCTTATATGTTCTCTTCACTTTGATTACTTTATCGCGAAGTCTTAATATTGCTCAGTTAGGTTAGGCCAAATTATCCCTCCTTGGTTATGCACTTTTGAATCTTCTTTTTCGATGCTTCTTCTCACCAGGTTTGGTCTAGTCGGATTTCTCTTTGACTTTGCCCCTTTGCTTCTTTCCTTTTTCTCTTGCTCCTGACATGATTTTACTCTGATAGTTTTTTTTCGAATGATAATGGAGTAATGCCACTTTTCTATTTTTTAGAGCTTGCCAAGAGACTAAGCATTTTTTGACCGGTGCTATGGCCACTCTTTGGTGTGTATTCAAGGTTATACTATTTTTATCATCATTATGCAGTAAATTGCGTAAAAACTTATATCTATGCCTATTTCTACACATACACGCACATGCCTGTTTTATTGTCTTTCTACGTAAAAGATATAGGTAGCTATCTCCTTTACATTTTTGACGAAATTCGCTTTAAATGTCTGCCTTACGCTTTTCAAATTAGAAGCATTAATATCGTGAATTTTCTGCTAAGTCTTTGTTTTCAACAGCTCACCTCACTCGTCCGTTTTAGAGGTCATAAAATTCAGAGCGAGAATCTTAATTAGTCTCACTAACTGGATAAGAGTAATAACAAGAGTGTGGATATCTTCATATGGACGATCACTTCTTGTTCGTTCCTCTTTCAAGCCAAACCCCAATACCCAACCTAAATTCAATTACTTTGATATGATTTACGAATAGTTCTAATCTTCTTTCTTCCAATATCTAATGTTTTATCTCCCTATGTTGTTAAATAATGGCCGCATGCAGGCCGATTAACTATTTTTTCTTATGAACATTAGGTAAACAATGGAGGAAGCGATACAATTTGATTGATAACTATTTAAGACTACAACTTAAAAGAAATAAGAATTTGTTTCAAGATGCGTTCTCTTTATCTGTTCAATAAGCTATCCTCAACCCGTCCCATTCCTTTCAGATGTAGTATACTCCTTAGCATTTCCTTTTCCATCTACCTTTCCTGGACTTATTTCAGAATCCGTGCTTTGTGTATGTCCTAAACTGCCCGATAAATTTTTTATGCGCACTTCTTTTCTTTTTTGCTCAAGCCAAAACGACCCAATCTGGCGGTTGCCACCTGGCCTGGGAACTCTTTCTCAGAATGCTTGGCTTCAGGCTACAGTTGAGCTCCGTTCTGACACCACTCGAGAGGCTAAAGATTACAAGGTGCCACCCGGGTTTTATTTCTTTTCTTCTAACAATTACCAATTTAGGAATGTTTTATCGAGCCTATAGTTATTATTTCATGCTTGCATCCTCTATGCTCCTTCGCTTGGTTGCATCTACCTATGGGATTTTTTTCTCACTTTCTCAATCATTTTTCATTGTTAATTCCGAAGTCCCTTTGATTTTGGGGTAAATATTCCGATTGGTTAATTCAATATATCTGAAGCCTATTTTTTCAACATTTCTTTTTGTAATGCTTCTGAATTAACAGTACTTTATGATCCAATTATTTGGAAGTCCGTCTATTTATGGGATATTCAAAATCCTACTTGGTGACATGAAGTTAGGTATACACTAGCTCGTTTATAGCCACTAATTCGGGTTTATTACGATACCTCGGATAATGAAAATATTACTTCTCTTAATACGATATTAGCAAATATCCCGACTAGTTGGATGAACCCCCTCCCACCTAACGGTTGCTGCTGAGTAGTTTATTTTACTAAAGCACATTTCATGAAGTCAAATTTATTTCATTTGTGAAATTTAGCGTGCTACTTAAATATTTAAATAATGCGTCAAACGCTTCATTTTTGCGCCTAATATTATCTTTCAATTGCATAATTACATTTAGTTATTAATACCAAAGACGTATTGCTCTCGTGCCTTGCCGCATCACAAATTATTTTATCCAATTGCTTACTGACGTAATAAAATGACTTCGCATACGAGCTCGAATTTCTGAGCCTAAGATTTTCCCCCTTCCTTTAGGACCGTTTATAAGCTACCAATAAAACTAAAAACACTGGACATAAATGTGATTATCAATGTATCATGTCTGAATTCGATATCCATTTTAACCTTTTTTACTTTATTTCAGAGGTAAGATTTCATAAAATACTATGCAATTATCTTGGAGGTATTTTATTCGAAAGTATGAAGACCAAGATGGTATGGCTTTTTGTATGATTGCGGTTTCCTTTCGTTTTATAGAGGTTGTTTGACCTTTTCTACGCAAATTGGTCATATTAGCAGGAAGACCCAGAGGAACGCACCTTGTCCGGTGTCAATAGTATGCATGATATTTTCTAGAGTAGGACCGTAGACTTGGCACATTTCCAGACGTCTCGCCGGCATCGTCAGTGAGCCTTGACAGTCTTAGCACCACGCTATAGTTCATCAAAGAGACAAGTCAAGCCAATCCTTTGACCAATTGTCTGCTAAACAGTTGTTTTATCTCTCCTGTTCTTGCGTATTCATCTATTCTATATCCTCGTACCACCCCTTGACTATCACAATATCTTAATTACTTATTTAACTGTGGTGTGGTGTACATTTCTGAGCGGATTTCATGAGACTTCTTCACACCTCACGCTGTCTTTCTCACCCCACACGCTACCATTGTGCCTATAACGTTGATCTGAATCTTACATATTATTCCGCATTCATCTTCCCATAAGTCCTATTAGAGTCTTCCTCTCGCCCTGTAGGATCCGTCTCCTATCTCTGGTTCAGTTATTCCACTTGATCCCTGCCACATTATCTGTGCTACTCGAGGCGTTATTTTCCACTCTACCTCAAACCTTTGATGGCACGTATACTCCCGCCTCATTGAGTAGCCCCCTAAAAATCAGGATTCTCAAGCTGGATCGGAGACTAACTTGAGGTTAAAGAGCCCGAGTAATTCGCATGGTAAAGCCTTTGCTTTATGGACCACGTCTATGATTAAACACATCTACTGTTAGCCAACTAGCTCTAGTCTCCACCGCATCTATCGTGCTTCTACCCATAGTGCCAAGTCTATGGCTTCCTAAGCCCTAGTCTCTTGTGCGCCAACCCACAAATGTTGTGGTTTTACTTGTTTTGATTAGCTCACTGAAGACGTCTTTCGACTTCTGATTGTTCCCTTCTGGTCTCCTTGCTATTTTTTCCTAAAATTAAAGATGTTACCTTGATCCAATCTTTTTTCTGATGTTACTATTGTCTGGTATTCTCCGAGTTTGTTTAGACAATATGAAAACTTTTCGCTGATCCTGCTTTCTTCAAGTCTCTTGCTCGTTAGATTTCTTTCAGTCAGTATATCGATGGTCTCTCGGATCCTGCGTTTTTTCGTGTTTTCACTATATGCAGCCAGCCTTTCTGTCGATTTCGTGTCCCTTTTGTGCAATGTGTTCCGCTATTTCGGATCTTTCCCTATCCATGTTCTTACAGAGTCCTTAATGTTCCTTGATTCGTAGGCCGAAATTTCTTCCCGTTTCACCTATATACTCGTTAAGCTTACTTCCATTTCGAGTGAAAGTGTTGGGTGAAGAGATTCAAGGGTCTGTTCCACCAGAAGACGACGGCGGATTCCTCTTGACTAGCTGTCGATTGGCTTTACTGAAAGATTTATGCTGACGCTGTTTCCGAGACAATTTCATTCGATTCCGGTGAAAAGGTGCTAAGCTTTTGTTCGTCATATGATGGACATCATCAGAGCAACGTATCATCGTCACAACATAAATTAAGAAAACTCACCGGCTAATCTCTAAAAAATGGTATATATACTCTACATCTGGCCTCTTTGATCAAGTATAAATTGATTTGGTTAGTTAAGGTCATATATCAACTTCTATGCATGTGAGTGTGTCTGTCTCTGTATTTGTATGT